TTGGATGAGTAGACCACGCTTGAAATGCTTCAAAAGGTGGTAAGCTAAGCCGGATGTCTTCTTGACCTGACGGTAGTTCGCGATGACAGCTGCAGCCTTGTCCTTGGAGGGCAAGTTCCAGACATCGGTAAGCTCGTAGGTCTTCTTATATCCTGTCCAGACGATTGGATCCACCCAGCTGAAAGTGGCAAGCGAGAAAACACTGGCGATAGGTTCCCGGGCTGGCGCGATGTCGCCTTCATACTCTAGCTCCACCGCCTTGTTGCCTTTCCTGGAGCACAAAGAAATAAGGAATAGTAGCGAGACGAGGACGAAATCGCCAATCATGAGCTTCCGGTGAAGAGGCGATCGCGGGTGGATGATGGCCGACCGGAATAGGAGGACGCTGAAGACCCATTGGAACCCGTAAATGAAGGCAGTGTGGTACCACAGCTTGGGAAACGAGAATCTGCTGGTGCTGGAGAACAGCAATCGCAGCGAAGCCAGGGTGGCAATGTAGGCCCAGACTACAACATTGGCAATTGCTGCAAGCTTGCCGTGCCTGCCCCAAACATTGGTCACCAGCACAGCGACGTGGAGTGCCAGCTGGGCCAGTACCGCGACTTCCTCGAGTATGACGACCGTGAGCTCTCCGCGGGGCTTGTCTACGGCCATGGTAGAGACCGTGTTGACGGCGTGAAGCGCGAGATCTTCGTTCCGATCAAGGTCGTCTTCGGCATCTTCGTAGGGTTCGTCGCCATCGTAGCGAGGACTGCGGAAGGACCAAACATTGGTGGGGTCTTCGAGGACACTGTAGGCGTGGTAGTATCGGGACGCGGTGGCGGCGAAATAGAGTTGGACCAGTAGATAAACGACGGATATTCCGCATACGATGAGAGGGAATAGTGTTTGAAGATAGCTGCGACGTGTTAGCTGAGTGGTCGTTCGTGGTGGCGCATCGCCTATCGGATGGCTGCAGTGGCATCTGAGACATCGCGTCGTGGCGCAAAGCAAAAAGAAGCACCTACTCTTGCTCGAAGCACCGCGAGAAGTCGTCTCTGCCCCAGAACGGGCCTCTACAGTGGGCGAACATGGTGTCTGCCGCAGTTGTACGAGACCTGTTGTGACCTGTGGTGGTGTTCAAACCTCCAGCACTCGCACTCGCTATTGACGGCTGTTGAGGCGCATTGGGACTAAAGGAAGGACCGGAGGGTGTATTCGCGCCTTCTGCTCGATTGCGCCGAAGTAAACAAACGGCAGCAGGGGGCCTCCAGCGATTGTGTCCAGGATAGGGTGGTTTGCGAGGAAGGGAACTGCTTCTTCGGTTTGCGCTTCCACTTGCCGCAAGAGCTTTTCCAGATCCGCACTGACGTTCACGCGCGCGTGCCCGAACTAACAAATGATGTAATTAGCTATTGCTGCCGATGTGCAACCGAGATGCTGGGATCAGATAAGATAGCTGCAGATCAGATAACCGGCCCAATGTAAGAACGGGTGCAACGAGCCACACGCTGAGCGGTCGCAAACTACTCTATCGAACCGTCACCGTGGCTGCTGGTGTGGATATAGCAAGCAGTCTCACAGAGAGAGCTAGATTGTCACGACATATCGTTTGACAGGGTTCGTCTCCGCTTGACTCAAGGTGACATGGTTGTGCAGCAGATGCACCGATGCGCATGTGTCACAGAGCAGGCCATGCATCCGTCTCACGGCTTTTGTCGCGCTTTGCCGCTCTGCAGCTTCACACTACCGTACGCTCACATATTGACCGCCTCCATTAAGGTTCGCAGAGTCATAATCCGATGGGTTCGTGACAACAGCTCCAAGGGCGAAAGGGCCGGTCGAGGGCGCGCTGATACGTGCCGTACTGTACGCCTCCCGCTTCCAGATTGGAGGTATCGGTCGTGTCGTCGGTGCAACCCAGTATTGGGCACGTTGCTAACTGCGTCCGTCTTCGCGCCGTGTCTTGCCTGATGCTTCTCTTCACTACCAGGCAGGCCGTGGTAGCTGGCGCATGCCAGATAGCCTCACGTTCGCCCTAGTGTAGAAGCCGATAAGCACCAAGGAATTACACCGAACGCGTAAAAGAGTCGAGAAGAGTCATATCGAGTCGTAAAGAGCCATAAGGGACCTTCCTATAGCGACGACAGCTCTATCGCGGGCTGCCGGACATGGCAAAGTCCAGATGTCCGGGGTACTGTGATGGCTGCAAGCTACCTCCGCGGCTAAGGGTAAGTGGGACCAGGCGTTAGCTTCCCCACAGCTTACCAATTCGGCTGCCGTGCACACCACCTGTAACGTTGCTGACATTGCCAATAGGCCCGTCGTTAGGCGCAGCCTCAAAGTCGGTGAGAGACTCGCACACACATGCCTCCCCAAGTTACCTGCTGGCGCCATCTGCTCAGGTGCCGGTTCCCCTGGCGCGCCCAACGCCTTGGCCAGAGAACACAGCGTTGAACGCCGCGCAACGCTCGAGTCCTGCGACATGTGAAAACGGCCTGATTCCGCAATCTTCGCTCTGGCCATACCAGGGACGTCCTTGAAGCATCTGCAGTTGAAGCGCAAAGCTTTGGGCCGCCATTGTGACACAGGTGTCTGTCTACTGCCCACAATCGCACAATGTAACAAGTTCGCATGCGCGACAAATTAATCTGGGTTAGAACCACAAACCGTGTTGAGCGACGTAGTTCAGAAGTCATGTTGATGGCGACATGGACAAATTTCTACCCAAGAGATGGCAATCCTCAAACGTCGAACAGGCAGGTACGATGAGGCAGTCAGACAACACAACCCGCCCACGTGCTGCCTCTCCACATTCCCGTGACCTATACAAACAGTCGTTACCTTCTCGCAAGCCTGCGTATAGTCTGTCATTTTCTGGGACATGGAACGCATACATGTTACTTATTTCCCTACGTTAACGATGCGACAGTCGACTTCCCGCTCCATCCGCCTGGACGCCTTCGAGCTTCCAGACACCGATCAGTTGAAGCTCACAGTACGCCTTCTATCTAGAAACACATGAAATCGTCGGAGATAGTCAAGGCATGGCCATGTCAACTCGCCAGGCTGCTGTCACTGGACGCCACATATAACGCCTCAAGCCTTTGTCAGCCTGTCAGAAAGCTTACAACTCCACAACTCCATCTCAGATGCGAGCGAGCTGCTTAACTGCAGGCGCACATAAGAGGGCGCGCATACGCATACTTGAATCTCGACGCTGACATGCTTCATGTCCTTTCTTTCCTGCAAAGGGCATTGGATCATATGATTTGGAGGCTTTGTTGCGCTAACACCGGGCTTGAGTGTTGGGACTTGATTTCCTTGCGAACGCTCTTGTGTACTTTGACACGGGATGCTGCATTTGTTCCACTGCGACGGGAGTCTACGTCGTCTACAAACGGCACCTTTAAGCGATCATACAGACAGTACGCCGTAGTATATAATCTCATATAGTTCCCAATGATACTGTTGTTTGGAAAGGAACATTCTCACAATCGAACATGCATCACAAACGCTCAACAGCAGTGCTTCTAGCATCCCTCCTCACATCTCCCACCATCTCAACAGCCCCTAAACATCACCCCTCCTCCTTCCATCCCAGCGCCATCATAACCCGAGACGTCGCCATCATCGGCGGCGGCTCCTCCGGCACCCACGCCGCAATCACCCTCAAAGACTTCAACAAAAGCGTCATCGTCGTCGAGATCAAGAACCGGCTAGGCGGCCACACAGAAACCTACACAGACCCCGCAACCGGTCTCACCCAAGACTACGGTGTACAAGTCTACCACAACGAAAGCACTGTCCTCGACTACTTCACCCGCTTCGACATTCCCCTCGGACAACCACAATACGCTGCCAACTCCGCAAACTACGACTTCAGCACCGGTCTCGCCGTCAACGTCAGCGCACCGAGTGTACAAGACATCGGCGCCGGATTCCAGAAGTACGGCGCGTTCCTAGCCCAATACCCAAAGCTAGAAAGCGGCATGTTCCTCCCCGACCCCGTCCCAGAAGACCTAACCATACCGTTCGGCGACCTCGTTGCCAAACTCGGTCTCGAAGCTCTGGTACAGACGATGTTCGATACGAACCAGGGTATTGGGGATATACTCAATGTACCCGTGGTGGAGAATGCGCGTGTGAACGGGTTGGGTTTGGTCCAGCAACTCGCTGCGAATAGTCTTGTTGCCACGGCTCGCCGCAATAACAGCGAGTTGTACGGGAAAGCGCAGGTTGAACTCCTCGATGCGAATAGCTTGTTGCTGTCTTCTGAGGTCGTGCGTTCGGTACGGAGGGAGAGTGGTGTGGAACTCGTTGTCAAGACACCCGATGGCGTCAAGTTGGTACGCGCGAAGAAATTACTCATCACCATTCCACCGCGTGTGGATCTGTTTGCGCGTTTCGATTTATGGAGGCAGGAACGTGAAGTCTTTGGGAAACTTATTGATGTTGGGTATTTTGCTGCTCTGGTCAAGAATACGGGTACACCTGACGATTTGGTCATTTACAATCGCGCGCCGGACACACCATACAATCTCGCTGTCCTGCCGGGTGTCTATACCATGGGGCCAACCGCTATTCCTGGGGTCAAAGCGATTTATTATGGTTCTCAACGGTCGAATGCGACTTACCCACTTTCTGATGACTTTGTCAAAGGGGAGATGATCGCGGGTATCAAGAGACTGCAAACAGCAAATGCTGACAAGTTCGAGGCGACAGAGCCAGAGTTCGTGGTGTTTACATCACATGCGCCGTTCTACATGCAAGCAGGTCCCGAGGATATACAGGCTGGCATTTATGACGAGATGAACGCGCTACAGGGGTTGAGGAGCACGTATTGGAGCGGTGCGACGTTCCGAGCGCAAGATAGCAGCGCGCTCTGGAAGTTCAATAAGGAGATTGTGCTTCCCATGTTAATGGAGGGACTCTGAATATCGGGGGTGGATAGAAGTAATAGCATCTGAAACATCGATTTCTTCTCTGGATATATACAATGCTTGGTATGGAAAACGCGTCTACTGTCGAGCCTTGGCGATGGGTGTCCATGGGGAGTACTTGGGCTTGACACTATCGACTGTTAGTACCTGACTTGCCCATGTCGCAGTCTGGAACGTACGTGTTGTAAGGCTTGTATCCCGAGCGGGTCCATGTGAGAGTCGGCCTGTGCTCCTTTGGCTCCCAGACGCGGACCTGGCGCTGCAGAAGCGGGTCTGCGGCTGGTGACTTGTCGACCATGTATGACATCCAGGCGTGCCTGTTAGAAAAGTCAGATGCATGTCTCTCCCAAGGCTGTAGTTCGTAATTCTTGGCGGGGTAGCGTACCATCCGGGTTCGATCTGAGAGCTGTCACAGGGTTAGCTTTGCTCCATGTCTCTACGTCCGACGAAACGTACGGATCGAACTCATGGTCCTTGTAGTCGACCCAGCGGGTTCGGACTATGCCAGTCAGATATATGCCTTCATCTTTGAGATGCGCGAATCTTACGAGGAAGCTCCTCCTCCAAGTTCTCAAAGTACTTGTTGCCGTACTTGTCCTGGCCGATCAAGGTTCCGGCTTTGGTGTCACCTGTTCCCCATTAGCCCCTCCCTCAACATGGCGAGTTATTTGTGTCCAAGCGTACCGATGTTCTAAGCGTGCGGGCGACTCGATCAGTCTATCTGCGATGCAAGGTGAGGGCGCGGGGATGCGAGCGTACCGCCATTTGGTGGCCATATTCCTGCAGACGTGTTAGCATTGCCATGTCAATTACTGCAGGTAATGAAGCTTACCTTAAGTCCAACTCGGCGCAGGTTGCGCAGCGTTCTCATGAGCGTCGACATGGCGGCGTTTGGTCAATTCAGCGTTCGTGATGCTTGTCGGATGTTGCTGCTTCGCGATTGACGATGCCAAGCACCGCTCTCACGCCTTTCCCAAGGCATACTAGTGCGAGCGTGATCCTTGTCGCCCAACCCCAAAGTGCATCAAAACTTCAGGAGTCGAAGCACATACCAGCATCCGGCGTGATAGCGAGTGGCCAACATGATAATAAGAAGCTTGTTACGCGCCCAAGCACCGAAGATCGCGGGGAGGAGAACTTTCCGCATCCCAACTCGGACATTCAGGACAACGCGAAGATATTCGACCTCGAGTGCTGAGATGGCTTCACCTGTGCCTCAGAGCCAAGCGTCCATGCTTGCCACGATAACGACGGATCTGGATAAGATTGCGCCGCGATTTGAGATTCAGCCAGATCAGATTGAGATTCTTCAGACGCCTGCTGAGTTCTATCAAACATTGAAGGTAGGTCGGTCTTTGTTGTTGTCATTTTCCTACTCACTCTTCTGTTCCGTTTCTCTTTTGGAATGTTCAACACATACAAGACAACCTTCATCTCAAGGTTCAATCAGCGGTGCTTATTTACTATCTGTCATTCTGCCAAGAGGCACACTACCCTCCCATGCCTATTTTCTTCTGCCCTTGCACCGTATTTGCGAATCTTATGTCAATACTCCATCCCCAATGAATGACTAGAGGGACGGAGGTGTTGTGAGCAAGCTTACTCGTGGTGATGAAACTTCGTACTAACGGAGTCAGGACAAAATATCCAAAGCTCAATACCGGGTCTATCTATCGACACTCTACATCGGCAAGACCGAACATGAACTCATCTCAACTATCCGAGATGCTCTTCAACGTAACGCCAACCTTAAGATCTCTTTCCTCACCGACGCTCTTCGCGGAACTAGGGAAACACCAAATCCTTCGACTGCCTCTCTCATGACACCTCTCATCTCCGAGTTCGGCTCAGACCGCGTAGAGGTACGCATGTACCACACACCCAATTTAACCGGTCTGCGAAAGAAGTACATCCCAAAGCGCATCAACGAAGGCTGGGGTTTGCAGCACATGAAGCTGTACGGTGTAGACGATGAAATCATCATGTCTGGAGCAAACCTGAGTGAAGATTACTTCACGAATCGACAGGATCGATACCACTTATTCAAGTCCAAAGACTTGACGGACTACTTCAAGAGGATACACGACGGAGTTGCAAAGTTAAGCTTCGACATACAGCCAAGCACCCAAGAAGGAAGCGGAGGCTACACCATGACCTGGCCAACAACCAACGCCGCACCCTCCCCACTAGACTCCCCCTCGAACTACAAATCCGCCGCGGAGAAGCACCTCGCCCACCTCCTCCTACCATCCAACTCCCCGCCCACCACGTCGCCCTCCACCTCCACCTCAAAAACAACAATCTACCCCATCCTCTCCCTCGTCCCCCTCCTCCCCTCCTCAACCGAACTCCCCGCCCTAACCAAAATCCTAACCCACCTCACCACACCCCCCTTACAAAACTCATCCTGGACCTTCACAGCCGGCTACTTCAACATGACGCCCTCCTTCCGCCGCCTCCTCCTCTCCACCCGCCCCGCCTCGGGTACAGTCCTAACCGCGCACCCCCACGCCAACGGCTTCTACGGCTCCAAAGGCGTAAGCGGCCTGCTCCCAGCCGCATACACACACCTCGCGAAATCCTTCCTGCGTAAAGTAAAACACGAAGGTCTCAGCGAGAGCATCGTGCTCAAGGAGTGGAAGAAGGGTATGGTGGGCCAGGAAGGCGGGTGGACGTATCATGCCAAGGGACTGTGGGTTACGTTTCCTTCTGCCAATGGAAGAGCGGAGAAGGAAGATCCCAGCTTAACGGTTATTGGGAGTAGTAATTATACGAAGAGGGCTTATGAGTTGGATCTTGAGGCTAATGTTGTTATTGCGACGGAGGATCCCGGGTTGAGGAAGAGGTTGGGGGAGGAGGTTAGGTGGTTGGGGGAGCATGCGAGGGAGGTGGGGGAGAAAGAGTTTGAGAGGCCGGAGAGGAAGGTTGGGATGGATGTTAGGATGGCGATGTGGGCTGTTAGGGTGTTGGGTGGTGCTTTGTGAGGAGGGTTAAGGATTGTGTATACTACTATGTATTAAAAACTGCGATTTCATGTGTAGAGCACGGCCAGAGGACGTAGCACTTGGGTGATTGAACGTTTTACTTTATTAACATTAGGATGAGCTATGGAAGAAGTGTGATGGGTATATATGCAGAAGTCAAGAAGGAAACAAATCGACATTCAGCTTGCGCTGCCAAATTCTTCGCATCTTGTACCACGACTCCAAAATATTAGACCAACGAGATGTCTTCTTAAATGCGACCTCTCTAGCTCATTCAGGTGTAGACCAGCAATTCCGGGTTGCTCGCCAGACCACCAAGCCCCGATCGCCGACGACACGGCTGATGGTATTCCAGATGCCGTCGTCGGCAAAGTCCATGTCATCGAGGTTCAGGTGCTGTCGGTAGCTCCAGACTTCCTCTAATGAGACGTCTTTTGAGTTGTTTGGGTTTTGGTATGGTATCAAAGCATGTGCTGATCGCGGTGCTACCACGTACACAGAGCCTCGATTGACCTTGGGTGGTTTTCGTGTCCGACAAGGGGGTAGTGCTTCCTTGACCTTTTCGATCATCTGTTCGGCTGGACAGCCCATCAGATCGACGGTCTTGAGCTCCTCGTTCTTGCCATTCAGTAGCCACGTTGGCGGGCTGTACGTCTTCCACCAGAACGCATTGGAAACTGTTTCGTTCGTCTTGGCAATGTTCATTTGAACTGGGACGATGCCACCCTGGTGGTATACGCCCATCAGGATACCCAGGGCAACGTTGAAAACTACCCAAGTAACGATCCAGCTCTTTCGAATGCGCGGAGTCGGTAGGCGTATTGAGGAGAGTATTAATGGTACGGCGGGAAGTAAGAATCGTGCTTCTTGGTGTGGGAAGATGCTGAGAAGTGCGACGCCAGATATGGCTGATATGAGAATCATAGATATATGCGCCCTGCGCAGAAAGAACAGAAGTGGTGCCGCCGGACCGAGGAGTTGAGGGAGATTGACGAGGAAATGTTGGTATCGCGGGTGTATGCCATGCTGGGCAAGGTTCGCAGAATCCGAGTTGTAACGGAAATTGTTGAAAGGTGTGATGACGGCGCCGCTGATGAGTTTGGAAAAGGTGAATTCGCCGGGGGTATAAAACGCCGTGTCTACGCAGATAGCAAGGAAAGCTGTGAAGAGAGCGAACGTTGCAAGGAAGGCCAAAGAGAATGGTCTGTGGCTGTCAGTGAAGGTCAGAAGACGAGAGGGGCTGACTTACTTGCGCTTGAAGTGGGGTAGCAAAGTCGTCGCAGGAAGAAGCAGAAATGCTGGAAAGGTGATGCGATTAAAGATGCCTACGACGACCATGGAGCCGAGGATGGACGAGGCCAGGATGCCAGAGCGCTTCTGCACCTTGCGTTAGCCGCATATCCTAGATCGGCGAGCGGACCGAAACAACTCACCTTATCGTCCGTTATCCTCTGGATCAAGACCAGGCTCCAGAGCACCAGCAGCGTCTCGATGCTGTTGGAGAAGGTATGTGTCTGGAACGTCCAGGTCACATACGACGATGCGACGAGCATGACGGCAACACGACGCGCGCGCGGCGAAGCGACCAGCTCGTGGATAGCCCAGTCCTCCATCACGACACTCAGCGTCAACATGAGTACGCGCAGCGCCCAGTATACGACCGACGGTGAGACGTCATATCCGAAGCCCTCCCATAGCCAGCGCAAGATGTACATGGGCCAGCCGTATGCGAGCCATAGCGGGAACGTGCTGCGGATGGGGTTCTCGGAGGTGAACTCCCAGGTTTCGTGGACGGGGTAGGAGAAGACACGCCCTGGATACAAGTCAGTCGTGGCCACGGGCGCACACTCAGACAGTGTCGCGACATACCGGCAATGACCTCGGGGCCCTGGAAGTTCTCGTCCGGGTGCAGATAGCTCGGCGATAGTGCAAAGTAGATGCGCACCAGGATCAGCAGGAAATAGACACGCCGCCACATGATGTCGAAAGTCGAGATGTGCCGTTTGGGGGTTTGGCGGGGTTGAGCAGGCGCATATCTGTCCGCTGTGGTGTTTGTTTTCGCAAAGTGAGGCCAACAAATGTTTTAGTGGCCTACGTCAATCAATCGCCAGTTGCACGCGGATAGGGGGGCCGGTTGCAAGAGCGAATGGTGAGTTATGCTTTGCGACTCGTGCACTGTGATGATCTGCGAACTACATGGCGAGCAGAAGCATGGCTGATATATCGGCCGACTATCATGCGGCCTGATCAGATGCGATGTGGCAGCAACCGATGGTGCGTCGGACTTGTTCCACGGCTGTCTAGGCTGCCTTTGCATGCGGATCCGTTGCAGGCAGAAAGGTCACGTGGCGCAACATCAGTGGATCAGGTACCCAAGTACCCCTTCAAGGATACGTGTAGATGGAGTTGAAGTTCATGCGGCAGATCTGATGTTGCGATTCTGGTGTGAGCAATACTGAAACGTATCAAGTAGCCTTTTGAGTCACCGCGCATTTGGCCCGCTGGCGACTCTGGCTGATCCTTGCACCCTTACCTACCCAGACAGATGTCGCCGGGGACTCAACGTACATCTCTTCTAAGGACAGGTATCTGGAACGGGTCGTGTTGGCCCCAGGCATCATCCTCCGTGAGTCGAATCCACGTCGTATTCTGGTAACTTCTGCCGGCTGTGTGCGGCGTGGAGTCATCCTCCGTGCCATTCGCGGGGGTTCGCCCAAAGTTCAAGTGAGCGCAAACACGGCACAAGCTGCTGGCCCACAAACGAGGAAACAGCAATTCACAATGTCTTTCTTGAATCAGCAAGCAGCAAAGTGAAGCCGTGTAACAAAGCTGGTTCAAAGCACATACAACCTGCGTTCTCCCGTCACGACAGCGTCCCTTTGATGATTGCAGCCTTGCG